CATGTCTAACAAGGAAGCCATCGCCATCAACCAAGATTCCCTGGGCCAGGCAGCTGAGTTGGTCATTCGATACACTGAGGAGGAGTGGGACGTCTGGTCCGGTAACCTCTCATCCAACCGTAAGGTCCTCGGCGTTGCGAACTGGAAGAATGAAACACAGACGGTCGAAGTCGACTTGTCGCTTATTGGAGTCAGAAAGGCCAAGACTCGCGATGTCTGGGCTCATGAGGATTCCACTATCGAGGGTACTCAGAAGTTCGAGCTTAAGCCTCATGAACTACGCCTCCTCATCCTCTCCGACATTAGTCAAGCTGCCAAGCCTAGGTCTGTCGGTTACCACGCTGCTTCGAAAGCAAGCCTCGAAGGCTCAGCCTCCCTCTTCGACTGCAAAGAGAACGAATGTCTGCCAGCCAGCGAAAAGATCAAGTCCATCGGCAAAGACGCCGAGGTCGCATTCCAGTCCATCAGCGCACCCAGGGATGGATCGCTCTTTGTCGGTATTGACTACATCAACCACGAGTATCATCACACGATCGGCGACTGGGAGACCAACTCACGAAACATGTCAATCTCGGTCAACGGAGAGGATGCCAAGCGCTGGGCGTTCCCTAATGCTGGTGGCGACTGGTTCGAGAGTGATCGCATGACAATCCTTCTTGATGGCTTCATGAAGGGCGATAATAACACTATTACTTTCAGTGCTTCAGCTTCAGGAGACTGGGCGCCTGACCTGGTCGGTTTCGAGGTTCTAGCATAGACTGGAGGAGAACAGGCTGAAGGCAGAGATGGTAGTGAAGGGGGAGATCAACATGGTGAACAAGTCAACTCGACACTCTGGGCCACACAGGTAGGGTGTCAGAAGAATTGTCCTCTAAGGCTTAGGGTAAAGAAATAAAGTAGCCTAAATGCTAGCCTAAGCCGGCATGAGATGACCAAAGTATTTCGTCTCTTATGCTCTTGACGGCTAGTTCTTCTTATACTGCCACACTATACCCATCTAGTCGGCTTACTTCAATATTCTGAGGATGACACTGCTATATACAAGAAATTTAAACATTCTTAATTCACACCTTGACAGTGAAGTCATACTTCTCCTTCCCACTCAGTTTCTTCTCCGTACCCTTAAACTTAAAGACACCACTAGTCTTCTTCGGCGCCTTGATCGTCACAGACATATTCTTCTTATCGCTGCTAAGCTTCCAAGTAACCTCGACCTTTCCTCCGAAAGCAGTCTGCAGACGTCCATGTGCATATGTCAAGCCCATCGACACACCATACTCTGGTCCAACGACCCAGTTTCGGTATCCATAGCCATCGATACCCTCCGCAGGTCGGAGACCAGCAGCCCATTCTGTGAGAACATAGGTAGCTGCGCCTCCCCAAGGATGTCCTAGCGACGTAAACAAACCCAGACCAGGAGTCCCATCGTGAAGGACATATTCCCAACTTGCGCCGCTGGAAGTCTTGATGTTATCGACCATAGGACCCCAGAGCGTGTCAATGAGCTTAGAGCCGCGCTTGTCGGCGCCAGACTCAAAGAGGGCGGGGAGGAGAAATCCGTTGGTGTTGGGGCTGATGCTAGCAGTAGGTGCGTCAGGGTCTGTACGAGTGTTGTCAAGATATCCTGGCCCCAGAGCAAGTTTATCCAGAGCCTTGAACGAGCGAGTCGCTTGTGTGCGGCTAGCTGCTTTGCTCGTGGTGCAGAACGCGATGCCGTTAACGGAGAAGTCGGTCTTATTGGCGGTCGACAGCTTCCAAACGCCAAGCTCCTCATTCCAGAGGTTCTTGCGAATGGCTTCGATGAGTTTGTCGCCAGCTTGCTTCCACTTCTTCATGGCGCTCTTCTTGCCAATCGCCTCGGCAAGTTCGGCCATAGAGTGCAGAGCCTGGGCTGTCATGCAAGAAACGGAAGAGCCGGACTCGGCAGGACCAGTGAAGGCGCCATTGAGATGGACCAGTCCGTCGGTCTTGTTGATGGTGCTGACAGACCAGTCGACAACACGCTCGAAGTACTTCCATTCCTGTTTGAGGAGGTCCAAGTCGTTGCTGGATTGGATGTAGTAGTACAGCGACAAGAGACCAAGGAGTTGGTAATCCTCCAAGCCGTAGTTATCAGCGAAGATCGTGATGTTGGCCTGGTATCCGAGTGGGGCGCTCATACTGAACAATCCCTCCTCATTCTGTGTCGGAATAAGGGACTCGAAGGTTCCGCGCTGAAGGTCGAAGCGAGACGTGCTGACACCGATGATACGAGATGTGTGGTAGTAGTCTCCGAGCCAGATGAGACGATCACGCTTGGGTCCATCAAGACAAGCCGCGAAAAGGTTCTCTCTGACACCATACTCGTCGAGAATATCGTCAGAGGTCAGACTGCTCTCATAGACGACCTTTCCAAGATCATCGTCGTGGACCTTGACATTACGGTAGTAAGCCTTCTGGTCCTGATAAGCACCCAGACCGAAGCGACCAGTCAGTGTGATGGGCTTCATCTGGCCTCTGAACAGAACGCGGTAGGAAGTGAGCGACATGTTAAACACTTTGGTGTCGTTGATGTAGGCGCTGAGGTAACCATTCTTGAGGGTTGTGCGGATCTTGTACCACACATTCTCGTGGACAGGGGAGGGGAGGTCGAATGTCTTGAGAAGGTAGGTGGGTAGAGTGGTTTGGTTGACTTGGCCCCATCCAGAGGTGACTTGGAGGGTGTTGCGAGGGGAGAGGGTGTAGTTGTGGTTCTTGAAGGTCGTCGCCTTAGGTAGATCTCCGGTGATCTGAAGACCGATGCCACCACCCTTTCCGATTTCCCAAGCCTGTTGACGATCAGTATTTCCCCATATCAGTGTGATGAGTAACGACTTACAACACCATACCACAGACCGCCTCTCTGAATCTTGGTCTCAAACTCCAAAGTATGGTTTCCCACAAGAGGCGACTTCTCACTCTGGATAGGTCTGAGCGACTCAATCAAAGCGCCATTCTTAGGATCAACTCGCCACGACGAAGGTTGAGAACCCTGCTCCAAACACGAAGACTGGGCGCCCCTCACACCAACCTTCCAGATCTCATTGAGCCTCTTGTCGCTACACTCAAAGAAACCCGGCTCTTGATCAGGATCGACGTTAGGGAACGTAGCATGGAATCCAACATTCTCAAATTTGATGCTCGCCTCATTCACAAGTCTGAGAGACTCCCATCTCTGACCACCTTGTGTGAGGAACGCGTTATAGCGGCCAGTCTTTGTGATGTTGAGGGTTTCGATGCGGAAGTTGTTGCTGAGTTGGTTGCCGTAGAGGAGCGGGCCGTCGCTGAAGGGTTCGTTTACGCCTCGCCATTCTTCTGAATATTTTATCTCGATCTGAGCGGGGCCACTAAGGGACTTGACGTCGAAGAATGGGACTCCACCGACGATGTGACCATAGTCGAGGACTGCCACTGGGTTTTTCTCGTTGAGAGTAAAGCTTTTGAAGGCTTCAGTCTTGTAGGTGGGTTTGGAGCCCAGCGCCAGGCCTTTGGGAAGGAATGGCTTGTCGGCGCTGGGAATGAGTTAGCATAGTTCTTCAATGAGCTCTATCATAGAGGTCAATACTCACGTTGCATCAGCAAGACCCGCTGCTCCCAGCAAGGCAACACCAAGAAGCTTCAAACCTGGCAACATGACGAATTCGCATGCTGTTATCCCATCTCCATTTCATAGAGGCTTCGTTGAAGTTTTATTCTCATTGATCGGCAGTTCTTAGGCTCGGTACGCTTCGGCTCGGAATCTAATCGAGGGGAAGAAGCCATCGCGGAGTCGCATCGTCGCTTGGCGCTATTCTTACCGTGGACTAAAAATGTTGGTCGAAGCTCAAGATCGTAATTTCGGTGGTTAATGACCCGACGATCGTCGCTTCCCCGGATTCATAATGCACCGACCATTGAGAAGGCCCGATGTTACCCCGCGTTGTCGATGCTAGCGCGACTCTCGTGGACGCGAAGGTACCCTACATCCGAGCTGTGAATTGTCCACTCGGGATTTCCGAGATGAGTGGTTGTCAGTTCAGGAAGAGGTTCTCAAGATATTAGAGAATTATTTTAAAATAGCAACTTTCAGTATAATCTTTGTTAGTTTTTCTGTGAGGTGAATCAGGCAACACGCATGTTCATCCGACAGGTGTTGCTGTTCATAGACGTTTTAGACATACAATGGGTTGTAAAATTCTAGCCACGAAAAAACACTAGTACAAAAGTGCTCAATACCCTGGAATAAGAGGAAGTACAATCATTCCGGAAATAGAATTATCTCTAGATAGAGCAATTGGATTATTTGTATAACCTGAACGAACAAATATTGCTAAGAACAACGAGGTGCTGGACAGAACATGCTTATCGATACAAGTTTCTATTGATTGAAGCTATCGCAGCCAATTAGAATCAGCATGACACCCACTGCCGACCCACTTCCAGACACAAAAACAGCAAAAAAAGAACTCCCCGAAACCTGGATCGAACAAGTGACCTTTCGATGACATATAACAATTACAGTCGAACGCTCTTCCAGCTGAGCTATTCGGGGAATCTCCGAGACGGAGGAATAGCTATTGCTTGATGGGATGGCGGTTTGCAAAAGACATATATGATAGCTACCAGAACTACATCACCACCGCGACAACCATGTGCGCCTCAGTTCCGTCGCGCTGGTGGCATTTATTGACATTGTTGACATGAAGCGCGCGCCCGGACATAAGGGTCTTCTGGCTTTGATGTTTAGGTCTTAGCTTCCAGATGTCAATGCGACGGTGAAAGTGGTCTGACGGATGTGGCACTGGCCATCGAGAGACGCGATCACCTAAAGTGACAGCTGCTAGGCCCAGCTAGAGCGATTGCTCCCGTCGCATCGCCTTCGATAAATCATCAAGACCAAAAGCAAAAGAGGAAACCAATAAAATAACGTTCTAGAAGCCCAAAGTTCTATTGCCAATAGCGCAAGACAGATGCAAAAAAAGCAAAAAAAAAATATTCGTAGCTAGCAGCTACTGGTTTCGATCCAGTGACCTCCGGGTTATGAGCCCGGCTGAGGAATTGTTAGTGCGAATTTTGTACACAAGATTCGAGTAAACATACCGCGCTTCCACTGCGCCAAGCTGCTTTTGTCGCTTTACTTTGCCACTTGCTTTTACAATCTATGTAGCCTACCCAGCTTGCCCTGTGGCCATGCTTTACCTCCGCACCACCTCCATCAATCGCTTACCACATTCGAGTCAACCCATTCATCAATTAATTCCCTGTAGAGCTGCCA